AGGCCGATTGTGCCTCTTTGTCGCTCGTTCCGCGCTCTCGCTTGCACTTCAAGCCTTAAATGGAACGCCTCAGAGCGAGGTAACGCCGCATGAGTCATGTTTTTTCGTGCGTGCAGCCGGCTCCATCGAATTATAAGACGTTGTCACGTCAAAAAGGTAATCTTTGCTATTTAAATTGGTATTAAGTATCATTAGATAGAATGTATAGACGCAACACATCGAAATTATTCAATCGTCGAATATTTATCCTTTATATAGAGGAAATCAAATAGGAAACAACAGGAAACATAAGGAGGTAGTTAGACACGTGTTAGAAGCAGAAACGGGACTGAAGGGGGGAAGTGGTCTAATTTTTCTTACTTATTAGCTGCAAGATCCCACGCTGCCGATATCATACAGTTTATAACATGATCAGCTGGCACAATATCTGCCAATTTGTTAGGCCCTCCGTTAAGAGATCGTATCAACCCGACCCCGACCCCCATTATAACCCCTGTAGCCCCATACAGATTATCTATCCATCCCGCTAACGGCTCTTTATAAGTTGATGTAACTGCAAAAATAATTTAAATAAAAATCAGTAAGCAATTTTGACACTTACTAAGTATTAGGCTATTAAAAAATGAAGTTTACCTATCGACGGTCTGATCATCGCTATGGGAAGTCCGTGGGACTCTGTCTTAATTACATGCTCAGCTACAGCTTTCGTGAATACGTACGTATTAGGCCAATTACCAATTATACTAAAATTGATATTAAATTAAAAACAAAATTTCAAAAAAGTACTAGCATATTTTTCAGGTCAAGCTGAAAAACCATTAATACGTTTTTAATTAGCTACTAACTACCTTTGCAGTAATACCAATAATTAAAACGAACCATTATACTCATATTAAATCGTTTCAAATGCGGATGCAATAATTTTTTTATCAAATATATTAATTGCTTTTTAAACGTTTATAAATTAATTTTGGAATAAGAATCATGTTTTCTTCGATCATAATAGAAATATATTCAATTCAAAAAATTGCACCTCGTTTATTTTTTTACTCACGTCGGTGTGATGGAGGCCNAGACAGCTTCCGACAGAACACAGACCAACTTTTACCTGGTGTCTTAACAGCGCTACATTTTAAGATTAAATTTAATGTAGCATTGTACTACAGATGGCGTTTACCGCGCCATTTGTGGTATTTTCTAATGTCGTAATAGTTTGTTTATGCTTACTTTTAAGTGTTTCATCTCTTTCGCCATCCTCAGTAGATCTCTGGTAGCTTTAACGTTAATGCTAACTGCGATCCTAAGTTTTTCGTCAAATCTGACCGTAGCGGCAATGTGAAAAACGAAATTTACTTCGGAAATAATTTTTCCTATGTCGCTCTGTCTCATCCCTAAGTCGGGTAAAGTCAAGTCACCCGTTATTATTTCCACTTTTTCTCCAAACTTTGTAGACTTTCGCCTAAGGGGGTCGAATACCTAAAATGTGTCAAATTAGTTATTATTGCTTACAAAACATACTGACAAAACAGTACTGTATGAAAATAAATAAAAGTAAAACAAAAATACTGGTATGCAAGGGAAGAAAAAGTAAGGAAAGAGCGAATATAAAGACAGGAGACGAAAAATTAGAAGTGACTAATTTTAGGTATCTAGGAAGTCAGATAAGTCAGGACGGAAGGAGTAGTAGGGATACAAAGCAAAGGATAGCGCAGGGTCGTGTCGCCTTCAATAAATAGAAGTCACTTCCATGCTCGCGAACGGTTAACTTAGAAGTTCGAAAGAGTTTATTAATGGTGTGTTTGGAGGGCGGCGTTGTACGGGTGCGAAACATAGACAGTAGGCGTGGCGGAAAAGAAAAATTTAGAAGCTTTCGAAATGTGGTGTTATAGGCGACTGATGAAGACAACGTGGATAGAAAAGGTTAAAATAATAACAAATAGGCGAGATAGGTTGGTAGGACAACTTCTCAGGCATGAAGGTCTAGTCAGAGACATATTAGAGGCAGAAACAGGAGTTAGGAGGGGTAGTGGTAGACCTAGATTAGGATGTGGGATGTTGTAGCTTTAGGGAAATGCGAAGTTTAGCTCAGGATAGGAAAGAGTGAAGGTGCATGTATAATCAGTCTTAGGACTGACTCTACGATGATGACAAAACATGCATGACGTAGATTTTCCACTTTACCTCATTTTCAAACATTTCCTTCTTTCTCGCTTCCACNATTAACAAATAGCGTTAACAACAGAGCATTGCTTCAATTGTTTATACACACACATACTAACGTGGGGTCTTTCGCATGTAAAAAAATGACAAGTTGTTTCATGATGTAGATTTTCCACTTTACCTCATTTTCAAACATTTCCTTCTTTCTCGCTTCCACATCTTTGCCTTTCTTCTCCCTGACTATAATATATATTTTCGCCACATCTGGACAACACCTTAGCAGTTTTTCCAGCGTTAGTTTTCCGAGAAATCCTGTGGCTCCAGTAATAAAAATAGTGCTTCCTTTGAAAGTTTCTCTAATTACACTGTGAGAGGTGTCCTCAGGGGATACCATATAGTCAGCGGAGATGTCCAAGCCCTCTATATTAGCTTCGACCACCATCTTTGTCTTTTTATTTTACTTATTTTTGTAGCACTGTGAACAAAAACAATTTTCAATTTTTGACTTGGATTATTATCTTTTTTTTATTATTATTGTAAAACGATAGGAAGAGAATTATTTATTTTTACCAACACCCTCCGTATATACCAGACTTGACTCTTTTGCATTTTCTACTTATGAATAATTGTCGTTTAACTTAAAAGCTTACAATTATAAAAACTACAATAGGAATTTGATGAAGACGTTGTTCTAACCCATTTCTTGACATAAATTTACTAATAACATGTGAAGAAGACAATGAAATTGATTCGGTTTAAATTCCAGTTCTTCTATGGGAAATTCAATTCATTTAATCGCTTAAAGTACTACAGGGTACTTGTAATAACACTCAACTTTATTGAAAGCGTTTAATTCTTTGGCCTAATCCACAGCAAGTGTAGATGACTTGTAGGTACGGTATATGTCTGGAAGTAAGGACTTTCGTTCGGGCGGGGGAGGAGGAAAGATGGGGGGGGAGTAGATGTGGATGGCCTTGTAGAGCATTTACAAGTGTTTTAGTTGGGGAAGGGGCAAAGACGTGGAGTCGCACGGGATGGATCTGAAAGTTGGGTAAATAGTAATGTGTCGGAAACAATATGGAATTGAAAGAGGGAGGAGGGTAAGGTTGACACCAAAAAGATGTAAAACAACTGCTTTCCCTTCTTATACGTGCATTCATCAACGCGGATTCAATAAGATTGATGTGTATCATTAATAAAAAATGTGACAATATGTTGATGAGGCTAATTAATAACTGTATGATGTTTATTTATTTTTTTATTTCATTCTTTTGGCGTCAATTTAAATTAAGTACTTTTTTTAACTATGTACGTTACGTATGTGTTAGCACTTTAGTGAGAAATTACTCGGTTATTCCATTATGAGGACGTTGTCTGTTTTGCGTTGTTTTTGAGTTAAAAGAAATTTTGTCCACGTTTTCTTTTTTGATAAACGAAGTATCTTAGTCGATCTTTATAATCGATAGAGTTAAAATAAGATAATACGAAGTCTGTTCAAAAACTATCGCGAATTTTGAATTTCCATGGATTACGTATATTCGTATCATTTCGAGAGTGTGCCGGGCGCCCGAGCGCGTCAACAACAAAGGAATACATTGATGAAGTGAAGAAAATGTATTGGCCAATCGTCGAATCACTGTTAGAGAACTTGCTGAGGACCTAAACATATCGATTGGCTCCTGCCATTCGATTTTTACTAATGATTTGGGGATGAAACGGGTCGCCGCGAGATTCGTACCAAAACTGCTCAATTTCGACCGAAAACAGCATCGCATTAACATTGCTAAGGAGCTGTTGGACTCAAATTCGCTCCAGAGGGTCAGAACTGGCGACGAATCATGGGTTTATGGTTATGACGTGGAAACCAAAGCTCAATCGTCCCAATGGAAGCTGCCACACGAACCAAGACCGGAAAAAGCACATCAAGTTAGGTTTTGCTTACAGTTTTCTTCGATTACAGGGACGTGGTGTATCATGTGTTGTTTCCACAGGGTAGAGCGGTCATTGAGGGATATTACCTGCAAGTTATGCGCAATTTGCGACAGAAACGCCCGGATTTGTGGAAGAACAAAAAGTGGGTTTTGCGCCATGATAACGTCCCTGCTCAAAAATCGTTGCTTGTGCGCGAATTTTTGGTCAAAACAACACACGGTAATTTTTTACATTAGTTGACATTGGAATTGAGACATGAAGTTTAGTCAGGTAGGTAGTACTCACCAAGTAAAGTAGTGTAGTAGTATTTACTAGAATGTTATTTATTATTTGTTTAAAAATCTATGTGACTGAGATACAGGCTCTTAAATTTTTCATAATCGGAGGAAAATCCGGTAGGTACGGCCCTGGCTTCAGCCTTCCGTCAGCTGTTCCCGCCAAACATCGTTTCTCCTAAAACATATCTTCCTAACATTATTCTAATGTATCAGCCCGCCTTCGGCGGGCAGGGGCATTAACAATCCTCCAGTCTATCAAAAATCTACCTAATTAAACAATGACGTCATCAATGCATATTTGGCGAGAACAGCTGACGAAGGGCTGCAGCCAGGGCCGTACTAACCGGAATTTCCTCCAATTAAGAAAACTTTAGGAGCCTGTATCTCAAGGTACATTGGTTTCCGCATGGAATTAATACTACCACACGATTCTACATGGTGAGTACTACCTACCTGACTAAATTTTATGTCACAATTCCAATGTCAACTAATGTAAAAAATTACCCAACACACTAATAATGCCGTAGCTTCCGTGTTCCCTAGATCTCGCCCCCTGTGGCTTTTTCTTGTTCCAAAACTTAAGAGCCGCATGGAAGGACGACGCTACGCTGTGATTAAGGAGATAAAAACAACATCGAAGGAGAAGCTGAACAAGATCACAAAAAATGATGTTTTGATGTGCTTCGAGGATTGGAAAAATTTGTGGGGAATACTTTGAAGCGGACAAAATAGATATTCATGAATAAACAAATAATTTTTGAAAAAACACAAAATTTCGCGATATTTTTTGAACATACCTCGTAGTTCTTTCCGATATCTCGGAAGTACACTTTATTACATTATTAACAAATAGCGTTAACAACAGAGCATTGCTTCAATTGTTTATACACACACATACTAACGTGGGGTCTTTCGCATGTAAAAAAATGACAAGTTGTTTAATAATAGTTTATAAATAAACGTTTAGTTTTGATCAACAAAAATTGTGATAGTATCATTACTATTATAGTTTATAATAATGGCGAGATAGTTGTAAGCAGAGACACTACAAACAATTTGTTTAACGTTTTGATATCCATTTTTTAAGTTGTAAATAGGAATATACAGGGCGATATTGTTACGAAGTCTCCACGTTAACGTATTTTAATGATAGATACCTGCGCCTTGCATATTTTTAATCTTGAAAATTTGTTGTTAAAATTGATCGTTAACTATATACTCAAGTTCATTAATAAAACCATAAAATTGAAATTATTTCTAAGAAAATGAGCTTCATTAACTTGCTTATTGACTTAAGGTTAACCTTGTTTGCCATTTTCTTTTATCATTAGATACTTTTATTATGATTACTAGATACCTGCACACACATACTTGCGTCTGTTTTTCGAAAATTTCATTCAAACAATTTTTTCTAGTTACTTACTTACTTACTTAATAGTATTTTTTGCAATTATTTCGTCAAAGTTATTATCTTAATTGAGGATAGTTAGTGTTTTTTCCCCGATTTTGGTTTTTCATTTGCTGAAAAAAGATTGACAAACCTGTCTGCAAATACGTCATCATTATTAATCAGGTAATTATTCAAATTATAATTACTGTAGGTACTAAGTTTAATATAGTTTTGAAGGGTTTCTTAAAAATTAAAATTTACAACTTGATTTTCGAAAAAGTAAAAAATTAAAAATCTTTTTCTTTCAATTATGTTGTCCAAAAAATTCCTAATTAATAATTAATGACGTAGAAATGCATGGGTAGACACGGTAAAAATGAAATAATTGAATAGTAACTGCACAAACCCAAAAAGAAAATTACCATAACAACAATAAAGTACTAACCAAAACATAGGCAACAAACAAAAAACGAGTTTTCAAATTTGGTAAAAACGAAAAACCTATAAATATGGAAAAAAGCGATTGTTAGATAATTGTATAATTTATGACTTATCCAGTTAGGGTCAAACTCTGATGCAATAGGAAGAAAACGCTAGAATGTTTTTAAAACGTGATATTCCCAAAACCGCCGTCACTAACTATTCAAAACTACAGTATGATTAAAATGATATGCACTGCACTTAAAGTTAGGTACGTTTCCAGGCAATTCTTTTTTATTATCCGCTGCTTCGAAAATAAGGAACGGTTTTCCTTTTATCTCTGCTGAATGAAAATTGCTGCATTACAACCTGGATTACCATATTAAGATCACATAAAGCATTCTCGCGGACGTCGGGTAATCCGGCATGTTAAATTCAAGTAAACCTTAACTTTAAACTCATAAACGATCCACAAGGTTAATAAAACGCATTAAACGTATAGTACAGAATGTTGACAAATATTGTTTTGTAATTCAAAAAAGATACAACACAATTTCAACAAAGACTACTCCTATAATAACTGTAGACTTTTTTAAAAACGGACACGTGTTTCGCCCACTATGAATGCGAACATTATCAACACGAAATAGTCAATTAAACATTTCGTGATCATTAATACCTCAATGAATAACAAAGGGACTAACCCCCTACATACACCACAAACTATTTTAGAAACGGACACGTGTTTCGCCCACTATGAATGCGAATATTATCATCACGAAATAGTCAATTAAACATTTTGTGATCATTAATACCTCAAAGAATAACAAAGAGACTAACCCCCTACATTCACCACAAACTATTTTAGAAACAGACACGTGTTTCGCCCACTATGAATGCGAATATGATCAACACGAAATAGTCTATTAAACATTTTGTGATCGTTAATACCTCAAAGAATAACAAAGAGACTAACCCCCTATATTCACCACAAACTATTTTAGAAACGGACACGTGTTTCGCCCACTTTGAATGCGAACATTATCAACACAAAATAGTCAATTCAACATTTTGTGATCATTAATACCTCAAAGAATAACAAAGAGACTAACCCCCTATATTCACCACAAACTATTTTAGAAACGGACACGTGTTTCGCCCACTATGAATGCGAACATTATCAACACAAAATATAGTCAGTTAAACATTTTGTGAACATTAAGCGTAAACATGTGTATCACCCACTTTGAATGTCATCAACGCAAGAGATTCAGTTAAAAATTTTGTTTTCCTTAAACTTAAATACCTTGAGTTACAATAAGTCTCACCCCTATTCGTACACTATAAATTTTTATTAAAAAACAACATGTGTTTCGCCCACTTTTAATGTGAATTTTATCAACGTGAGATTGTCTTTCTGTCTTAAAAAAAAGTTTTCGGTATATGGGAATGAATCTCTTTGATATTCTTCAAGGTATTTAAACGTAAGAATAATAAAATTTTTAATTGTCTGTCTCGCTTTGTTAATTTCGACGTTCAAAATGTGAGTGAAACATGTGTCCGATTCTAAAAGAATTTGTAAAAGAAAAGCTACCTTGTTTTTAATTAAATATTATCCAAATATTTTTCTTATACCAACAATTAAAAGGAAATTTTTGAATGAGAATGTAGTCAAATAAAGTCATTACAAAACAATAATAATTACCTACAGACATACCAAAAGTCGTACATACCTTAATGGAATAAAGGTATAAGTAGAAGACACCAAGGAGAACTGCAACAACTTTGATGATGGTTACATTTGAACTGATGCGATAATGTATTACTTCTTGGGTCTGTTTTATTCGCGTAGAAGGGGAAAATCGGAATTTTTCCACTAAAAGCACACAAGTAAAATTTACTACATTCAATTTTTTATTTTATCGGTCAAATAATAGCAAAATTTTCGATAGTAATGGTGTGATGGTGTAATGATGTAATTTACATTTGCTTATTTCGACGCAGAAGTTTTCCATTTTCGCAAACAATATTCAAAATTGAATATTCAAATTCAATCTAACAATTTTTTAATTTGAAGGTACAATTTACCTTTGTTTTATTTGGATATAAAGCAGAGGATAGGGCAGGGTCGAGTTGCCATCAATAAAAAGAAGTCACTCCTATGCTCACGAACGATTAATTTAGAAATTCGAAAAAGATTGTTAAATGTGTATGTTTGGAGCGCGGTGCTGTACGGGTGCGAAACATGGACGGTGGGCGCGGCGGAAAAGAAAAGGTTAGAAGCGTTCGAAATGTGGTGTTATAGGCGGATGATGAGGATATCGTGGGTAGAAAAGGTTAGAAATGAAGAGGTATT